TTTTTATTGGCTCATGACTAATTAAGACCCTGACATCCTTATATCAATTGCTAGATTCCTTGGTAATCTACCTTAATTGAGGATATTTTGATATGCAAATATGTACTTTTTTCCCAGATTCTTGCCTTTGACTTTATAATGTTATTATAACACATATACAATACATGTATGTATATTCAGTATATCTCTTATATACTAGTACATTTTTATTAAGTGCTCTCTTTGTGTATAAATCTGATGTTACAAGTCCTTTGAATTTTGTTGAATTTTTCTCTTGGATTAAATCAAGTCGTCTAGGCAAAGTCTTAATTTATGTTATATTGCACTAATGTCTGCGATATCTAGTTTTAGCGACATAATGTTTACACATTATTTTATGTGCGACATGTAGGAATTCAACTTGGATACATCAAAACGTATAAGTCGTCTAAAACATAGTAGAAAAGTAGCATTCATCAGAGATTGTTGTCAGAATGTAATCGCCAAACCCTGATGTAATTGTATTTGGCAAAATTTTAATATCATGATATCGCGTTCTAAAACAACAACACGAGGCGGTTATACGTTTCCGTAAAAAACTGACATGTGGACGGTTTTTTTCGTAATTTCCCGAACATGACAATTGCATGAGGCACACGGTGGGTATGACCGGTTGGCAGGGGATGCTCATTCCTTATCCCACCTCTGATGCTTTGCTTCTTTTTTGTAATTCTTAAACAGACTTTTGAGTGTGAATACCGTTCTATATCCACATAATTCATTTATGGTGATTGTTTATGTGTAGAAAACGAGAGTTTCTTTTTTCTTTTCTTGGCTTGAGAGATGACAAAGATCAAACACAGTTCAGCAAATCGTTTAACTTTTCCTTCTGTTTCAACTTTTTGATTAACATTATGCTACATTTTTGAATTTGTTTCTTTTTAAAATCTTTTTTGTTCCTCTAAGCCTAGTACCTAATGTTTTTTATCATATTTTCTCTCTCGTTTTTCATCGTTATGTAACTAACCTGGAACATCCAGAATAAAAGTACACTTATCCAATGTCATATCCTTGAGTTATGAAAAACTAAATGTTCCAATTTTATGGAACGCCGTCACTGTCTTATAGCAGAATACTACTATTGCATTGTGTCAACCTTCCATTACATTATGTCAACTCTTTATGACATGTACCCACCCTACTATTGCATTGTGTAAACCTTCCATTACATTATGTCAACTTTTTATGACATTAAGCCACACTACTATTGCATTGTGTCAACCTTCCATTACATTATGTCAACTCTTTATGACATTAACCCACACTACTATTGCATCGTGTTAACTTTCCTTTACATTATGTCAACTCTTTATGACATTTACACATACTACAATTATATTTCGTCAACTTGCATTTCGTTATGTTTACTTTTCGTGAGATCTTTGTTTTTATTAACTGATGTGAAAAGCTCATGCCATACTGTGCGCACCCTTCTATATTATGTCGATTCACTATTACGTTATGCGAACAAGGGTATCCTCGGCCTTTATATGAGCATAACGTATTTTCCGCGTTCCGCAAGCACTAAAAATGGCGGGAGAGAAAACTGTCGTAGAAAAGATTCTCAGCGATTTGGGAATGACATCTTTAAATGAAAACTTTAAGCGACAAATGATTGACAATCTTGAAACGTGCAAAGCCTTAACACTGCGACTGTGAATTAAAGTCACGTCGAAATTCAATGGTGTTTACTTTAATCTCATAATTAAATAAATCAAATATTATGAGTCGTGCAGCAATCATTTTTTTTTCTTTTTATTTTGAATTTTTTTTAATAAAAGTCTTAAACTTAAAAAGGACATTGCATTAGTTTCACTAAGCTTAGCTGAATTAAGTTGAAAACCTTTTTCTATAAAACTATAAAGCCTGTGAGCTTCTCCGATTTCCGCCCTTGGTCTCCAACCATATACCGTCCCCCTTCCTTGTTCAAGATTCCAATATCTGCCACTGATATGTGCCCATGCATGCTTACTAAGGCATATTCAATTGATTTAGATGAGCGACTGGTAGATTTTTGTAATAGAATTCTGGCCCTGGAATGATTAAAAAAAATTACTAACTCCAGTGACGTAGCATCTTTTTTTGAAAGAGGAGGTCAGCCAGAAAAAAAATCATTTACCCGAAAAAACTTGACAAGTCAAGAAAAAAAGTCCAAGCCCGAAAATCCTATTTCGGGGAGAGGGGTCCAACTGCGATCAGTCCTATTTTTTTCCAGATATATTACATTACCCTTCGTGCACTATACTTCAACAAGCCGTGGGGGAGGGGGGCTGTACAGTTTCAATGAACATTACATTTTCTATAGTAAAGTAATGTCTGGGAAAAGAGGGGGGGGTGATATTATGTGCCTGTAATTTGTCCTAATCAATCAGGACCCCCCCCCCTTCTTACCAGTCATTAAAACACGGTCGTCAACATTCATTATATACTATATATACAGCTTTGAGATAATGTAAATGTTTTTCAACATCAGGTAATGAACTTTTTGAATCAACATGATAAAGAGTTAACACAATATAAAGATATTTTTAAATCACATAAGAAAGAGTTGACATAACGTAATTATATATCCACATCACGGAATGGGGTTTTGACATAATGTAATATAGTATTGATGTAATATAAAGATATGTTCACATTATGTTATACACTTTTTACACCACGTAATAAAGCACTGACATAAAGGTACGATGTGTTCACCTCACATCATGATGCCCTCGTCGTAAAATAAAGATAAATCCATATCGCGTAATAATGCTTTGATATAATAAAAATATACACTCTCAAAAAGGAATGGGCTTTTGACTTCATGTAATGATAAGTTTAATTATAAAACACAATTTACTTGACGTAATGCAATTTTGACCTCACATAATAAAGAAATGAAATGATGTAAAGAAAAATTCATTTCATGCAATAAAGTTTTAAAACAATGTAAACACATTATCACTTCACATAATGAATTTTTTACTTCAAGTTAAGAAGTGCTGACATAATGAAAGGATGTATTTACTTCATGTAATGCAGCATTGACATGATGTTAAGATATATTAACATCATCTCATAAAAAATGGACATAACATAAAGATATGTTCACATCACGTAATGATAAATTGACATAATAAATGCATAGTTGTATTCTATAAGGCAGTGATGGCGTTCCATACAATTTTATTTATTTCATTTTAAGTGGAGGTAAATGGGGAAATTTTCTTTTGTACCAGATGCCCTACGTACACATTTTAACAAGTTTGAAAGTTTGTACAAAATGAGATATTCAATTCTTTTTAAAGTGCAAGAGATTATTTCTATTGTAAATACCTGTAATAGTTTCTACGGCTGTAAGGAAATCAGTACAGATAGATGGCTTTGAGTTCAGATGACCTAGGCACAATTAGAAATATAAACATATCCATATTTTGAATTTTAAAGTGATTCTTAAGGCACAAGAATTTTTACGGGAGAAAATGGATTATTAAAAAGAGACTTGATATCTGAATTCAGATGCACTTGCATCTTGGCGAGGCAAAACCGAGACCGTGAAATTAGTCCTTGAAATTCATTATTGAGAAAATAAAGTCACAATCGCGTTGAAAGGCGTATTTATGTATTTAATAGCCATTCTCTGTAAGCATTTAAACTCTTATATAGGGAGTGTGGCACGCATGGTCTTGGATTTTTATGAAACTTGGCACACATTGTTATATTCATGCATGAAACAAAAATTCATAATAAAATGGTTGCTATGGGCAATGGTTACCATGGCAACCAGCATACATTTTTTAGAGCCCTAAAAACAGTCATTTTTCATGAAAAATTGCAGTCTTTAGACCCCTAGAAAACCTGTATATGATCTAGAAAATATAATGACTCAATTTTTATATCAAAATATATCATATTTCTGATACTTATGATTATTTGCAGTGTTTGAATAATTTTTCATCATAGTAAAAAATAACCGGCTTTTGGGGTTGTTTTTTTAAGGAAAAAATAACTGTTTTAATGCACTTTTGATAAGCTTGGTAAAAAATTTTGCGGACATGCAGGGAAAAATGGATATCATGGTGTTAAAGTATATAGTCTGTTCTACTATCAACTGCATTGACTCATTTGGTTTTCATATCTTGTTTTCATGTTACCATGGTTACAAAGTAATGAATTTTCATGTATTACAAAAAATGACAAAAGGCATTACCTATCGGTTTCCCTCTAATAATATAAAAATTTTACATTGGATTGAGACCAAATCTTGATAATTGGTACACAATATCTGAAGCTAATGATTAAAAAAAAAATTTCAGGTGAAAAGGTTAAAGGTCAAGGGCAAAAAAGGTACAAAATAGACTGAAATCTAGGAAATTAGGTGTTTTATACTATTACATATTGAAGGATTCTTCTCACATTTTCTGTATTTAAAAATGTATGAAATTTTCATAGAATGAAGAAGACAATATTACTAAGTGATGGTATCAGTCAGATTAAATAAAACCATTTTATATAAGGGGTAATATCAGGTCAAGGTCATAACCTTTTCCCCGGACATTAAGAACAAAACAATTCTGTTGCCAATCATGGGATCCCTACTTGTATCTTAAAACATTGAATGTTTTTATTTATGCATAAAAAGAAACTACCATACAGGGCCTATAAGATAATATTACCAAATTGAAATAAATTATTTAAATAAAATGGATATTGGGTAATCCGAATTTCCTCTGCTTTTCTTAAATTTCTAAGGATACATTAGTTATTTTTATATGTTTCCTATATTTAATTTTTTCTTTTTCTCACATACACTAAAGTTGTCACAAAAAGATGTAAAATGATACATAAACAGAAGGTTTTAATAGTTAAAATATTAAGAAAGGTTTTGATAGTTAAAATATTAAGAGAGAAAAAATACTTTTCAAATATTTTTAGCTCAAATCTTAACTTTACACGAAAGTTTTTAAAAAGCTGATACTGTTATAGTTTGTTTGAAAATAAAAACTATGAAATAAATTGTTGAGAATACTTTAAGGGAATTTACAATGTACATTATTTTTCTCTGCAAGTATGACTAGAAAGAATATATTGAATGAAGTATAAAATACAAAAATTACATTAAAGTTTCAAATGATTTGAATTGTTCTTGTTGACTTATATAGCTACTTCCAAATGAACGTGCTCCTAAAAGTGTAACTTAAACATTATCTCCATCATAACCCTAGTCTCTTAGACACCTCTGCAATAAAGACTTGCATAAAAATTTTGATATTAAAGTGAAAACATGATATTCAACAGATTTTTTCAAACAACTAATAGTTCTATATGTACATAGTAAATATCTACTTAAAAGGACACAAGTAATTGCAGGAACTTACAAGTGTAGTCATGATAAGGAATTAAATCAAACACTAATTCTTGTGCTTAACACTGATATGTGCAAGACAATGACATCAAAAAATGCATATGGGTATACAGTCCACTAATTGTTTTCCTATAGGCGACAATGTTAACGTTTCTTCTCATAGCTATGTCCCTATAATTTCTTGTTCAGAAGCGAGTGACCCCTCAAATCAAAGCACATCAACTTGTCTTTCCTTGGTTAAAATCTCGAAGTAGCATGTCATATTCATTTTTCAGCAAAATGTGTCTGTCTGTGGAAACCTCTAAAAATGAATGTAGGGGAATTTCAGAGTTCTCACTGGCGTTATAATACACAAAATAATTCGGCTGATCTTCTTGATAAATTACATTTGCCAAGCTTTTTTGGTAGGAAAGATACTCCTTATCAACAAGTGTGCATGAGGCTCAGTTCAGTACATCTGCCCAATTTATTTTTTATGCAAGTCTGCAAATTAAGGAACTTGTAATTTTTTCTGCACTACTTACTTTTCCTTTCGATTCTAAAAATAATTAGTGGGGTGTACCCATATGACAGAAAGTGACAAATAAAGGTATATCACTTGTTATTTCAAAAGTTGTTGTATTCTGCATTTCAGTGAATCTTGATTTTCCTCACATACTGCAGCCCAGTAGTCTTCTTTAGATGTTCTTTTGTCAAGCTGAACGAGCCTTGAAAAATAGGATGAGATTTGTTGCCCAGAGAGGAAGTCTGCCCTTTTGAACTTTCCGGACAATCTCATTTCTTCGGCAGCACAAAACGGGTCAACTTTGTTTCCACTAGTTTTCCCGATGTTAAACTTCTCCTTCATGAATTCCTTTTGCTGATTGGTGAAAACAACTCTGCCTTTTGTTTCTTTTAATGCCCAACCTGACGGTAATGACGGTAACCTGACTTTTATATCCTTAACACTGGTAACAGGAAGGAGCCCTGGTTCTTTGTTTGTCGGATACATTTTCATGATCTTCTCTGCGTAAATATATTTCGCCTTTTCTGTTACACATAATCTCTCTTTTGTAGCAAATGAGCAGGTGCCTATTAATACATGATCATCAACTGCTCTTTGTGTTGAAAACTGTTTTGTGCAGTTTTCCATAGGACACTGAAAACCTGTTATGTGCTCTAAAGACTCAGCTTCTTCATCTGGAAACAAAAAATAGATGTAATGTACTGTTTGATACTTAAGTATACTACTTATGGGGGTTGAAATTTTGGGTAGATGGCCCCGGCCCTACCCCTGGGGGTCTTGATTTGAACAAACTTAAATCTACACTACCTGAGGACACTGCCATATTTATATGATCAATTATGGCTTTGTTATTCTTGAGGAGAAGATTTTTTAAGAATTTTCCTATATATTTCTATGTAAAACTTTGGTAAGCCATTGTGGCCCGCCCTATCTCTGGAGGTCAATATTTGAACAAACTTGAATCTACACTACCTGAGGATGCTGCCATATAAATATGATAAATTATGGCTTTGTTGTTCTTGAGAAGAAGATTTTTAAAGAATATTCCTATATATTTCTATGTAAAACTTTGGTCGGCCATGGTGGGCCTGCTCTACCCCCAGGAGTCATGATTTGAACAAACTTGAATCTACACTACCTGGGAATGTTCTTGAGAAGAAGATTTTTAAAACATGCCACCCAATTTTCATTAATTCCCAAATTATCTCCCCTTGAATGAAGGCGTGGCCCTTCATTTGAACAAACTTGAATCCCCTTTACCGAAGGATGCTTTGTGGCAAGTTTGGTTGAAATTGGCGTATCGGTTCTTGAGAAGTCGAAAATGCGAAAAGTTTACAGACAGACAGACAGCTAGACGGACACTGTACAACATGTGATAAGAAAAGCTCACTTAAGCCTTCTGCTCAGGTGAGATAAAAAGTTATAAATATTGTTCCTGAATTTTACTTTACAAATATATACTGTGAAATCATTATATTTTCATGAGGGTTGGGGCAACACTTTACTGGTTTGTTGGGTTGTTATTTCATTGGAAAACTGATGATTAATTGAACCAATATATTTCTGAGAATGTACTTTCATGGGTAAGGATGTCCAATAAAATCTGTGAATATATTGATCCATAACAGTGAATATTAGTCCTAAACAATGATGATTACAAAGTATGTCACACTTGTCTATGAGAATAATTTTACTAACAATTTACATGAATATATTAATTGGTTATGTGTTTAATCCTACCTTGTTTTATTTCTGTGATCAAAACCCTTGACACAGCATGTCCCCAGTCTATCAAAGTTTTCAGTTCAACTGTTGGAGATGGGCAGCCTAGTGATCTCCATTTCATCAGTTTACCTTTAAACAGATGCAAATTGATTTTATTTAAAACCTGGATGATCAACTATTTTATACATCATATTATTAAAAGTTTAATCATTTCAGTTCCAGAAAAGCACTAATGTTTATGTGTCATAATACCTTCACCAATAGCATATGCTTTCCACATCCTTAATCCATCCTGTGAATAAAGGAAATTGTACAGTTTAGAAATTCCTGGGATTGAGTATCTCGGTTGTTCATGCTGATCATCATCAATAATATTCACTGAAGAAACAACTTTCACTTTCAAATCTGGTTTCTGTTCATTGTCCACTGCCTGTAACAAAAAATACCATCTGATGTATCATGTGCAAAATAAGAATTTGGAGATTTTGAAATGTAAATAATTTTTACACTCTAGCTAGTGTATAATTGTATGATATCAAATTGAAACTGATACAGCAAAACTTGTTTAGTATGAACATGGATATTGCGAATTACAGATATAATAAAGTTATATTCTTGGATCCCCAGCTATGTAAATTTAATAAATTTTTTGATATAGACAAATGAAATATGGATATAGCAAATGATTTTATAGGTCCCAGTGACTTCATTATGTGACTTCATTATAAGTGAGTTTTACTGTAACTTTATATCGATCTGCTAAAATATATACACTATACAAGTACCATGAGGTTTGAGTCCACAAAATGATACCCCATTGGAGTATTAAGGCAAAGTCCATGTTTTGCTAACAAAAAAAAAATCTGTTCAATAAGAAAAAAGAAGATGCCCAATTATTAGCACTCTATACATATCATAAAAGATTCTGTCAAAGTCTCAACTAAATTATATTTAGTGGAATACGGAGGAGTTGCAGATAAAAGATATTAAGTTGACCCCCAGGACCCATGTTATAGAAAAAAATAAATCACCCAAATATTTTACCATGGGTAATTCTATTTATCTATAAAAAATAAATTAGGATGTGAACAAATTTGCTCTATGTAGCAAATATGTTCTGATGAAATTTAATTCACTGAAAAAGAAGACTTCTAGCTGCTTGGCCATAAGAGATGGGTGTCCCCCAAGCGCTTAGAGAGTACAGAATAACTTACATGTGCATAGTACGTATAGGCTAACAAGAAATCTGTGAGCCAATGCTCACTAGTAATACCCCCGCTCTGATGTAAAGATTAAGCACTATCATGTTAATATACACAAGTTCAATTATAGGCAGATGCAAAAAAATTATGAAGTTGACATCAGATTCATATCAAAATTAATTCCACCATATGACATGCCTCAACAAAGAGTGCAATAAAATTTCAAGCATCTGCTATGAATAGCTAATAAGAAAACTATGACGAAGACTTGTTATGCATGATACTGACAGACACACAGACAAACAGGAAGTTAACAGAGGATACACAAAAATGTATCCCAATGTATGGCATGCCCCAGATAAGATTGTGTTAAAATTTCAAGCATCTACGATGAGTTGTTGCTGAGAAAACTACGACGAAATTTTGTTATATATGAAACGGACAGACGCACAGATAAACAGGAAGTTGACAATGGATTTGAGCAAAAATGTATCCCACCATATGGCATGCCTCAGAGAAGATTGTGTTAAAATTTCAAGCATCTACTATGAGTAGTTGCTGAGAAAACTGCGACGAAAATTTGTTATGGACGGACACGTGGACACACAGTGAGACACACGGACACACAAACAGACACACAAGGGTAAAACAGTATACCCCCTTCTTCGGAAAGAGGGTATAAAAAATACACTGTTGACAAAACCATGTATTCATTATACATACCTTTTTCATATGGAAAGCTGATGTCACATCATTTCCTTCATTGATGTATCGCCTTATAATGGACTTGATATGAGATGCACGCCTATCACAGGGACCTGCAATGCAATCAATTTCATGAATATAAAGAAGTCAAAATATTTTATCGTCATTCTGGTTCATCAATTTTATTGCATGGGTACTAATTTGTATGGAAAAATCAAAACCCAGCATAGACATATAGTTATTTCCTTTTCTTAATATGATAGTATCATATTAATGCATGTATATATAACTTACACTTGCAATACATGTAGAATGATTCAAAAGCCCCAAAAAAGTCAAGCTCCATAAATCAATTTAAATACAGATTTTCTTATAAATATGTTTTCAACATTCATCACTATATTAATTTACCTTTCCCGTTCTGTGCCTCACAAAAATTAAAAGAGGACACAGTATTCTTGAGTTCTTTTTGTAACGTCAGGATTGTGGTGGATGACTTGTAGCATCCAGCATTGTCTGTGAAAAAGTTAATGTTTTTCACTGCTGGTCTCTCCTTCAAAATGTCTCTCGCAACATCTGTTAAAATCTGTGACGTGATAGGTGCATCCTGAGATATAGGGCAATCAAAAATGTGGACATGTGTTAACGTAGAAAAATTTTGCCCATCCTTTAACAGTGTCACAGCTATGTGCCAATTCAACCCCCTTTTGGCAAACCAGTCCACTTGACCTATAAATATATTTGTACATAAACTTTTTTATTTTTACTTTTAAAGTGCTAAAAACAATAAAGAGTTGCAGTAAATCCTTAAAACACAGTAAAACATATGCTTAATGTTGAGTGTCAACTGTACAAATGTACAAATTACATCATACTGCAATGAGTACTTTGTACTTTTAGAAGATCAAATAATTTTGTATCATTCTCCATATACTGGATCAGGTTACATTGTTTGAATTGATGTTCTAGATACAATATCATAGTAATAAGAATAAATAATTATCTAAAAATTATACAGATTCAATAGCAAGAATTAAGCTTTCATTTTATTTTTTTTCCATTTATTGCTTGATATACATGTACTAAATGTCAACATTATAGACATACCCTCTCTATATTTCTTAGGAAGAAACTTCATGGCCCAGTCACACGTAATAATAGCATCATCTTCAGACATCTGTTGCACAATATCTGACCTAGCCCTCTCTTGGTTTCTACATCTTAGGATATGGCACTTCCATTTCTTTATGGCCTCAACAGCTTCTTCTACCTAGACGAACAAGGAGAATTTTAAGATAAAAAAGTTCATTTTTTCTTTCTTTTGTTACTTGAACACAGATCACTATATCCTCATAGAGATTTAAGTAATAGAATGTATGTACAATAATGCATAACTATGGGTCCAAGCAATGTAAAACATGATCCACCCACTCCTCTTATTTCTTCAGTTCAATATTGCTTAAAACAACGCTAAAGACAGAAGAATTGACTTGGATGATTCCCGACCAGCTTTGCATCACCAAAAGATTCTTTGAAATAATGTTTTCTTTACTGAAAATGAGCCATTGCTTGCCCTAAATAATTGCTTAACAAAATGTATTAATCTATGCATAAATTTTATTAATACCATATAATGGCTTGATTCCATTCAATGCTTTACTAACAAGCTGAGCTAAGAGAGATGTTTTGTTCCTTTAAGTGAGTACATGTACTTAGAGTAGTTTACAACACAAAGCCACTTTTTCCTAGATCATTTGTAAAAAAAAATCTAACCGTATACATTGCTGCTTCCTGGTTCTGCCACTGATGCTCCTCAGCCTTCTGCTGAATTGAACTGAGAACTATATCCAGGTTTTGGCAGTCAGTACATGTGTCCCCATGCTGATGCTCACATTCAGCTGCGAAGAAAGGCTCGGAAGAACTAAGGGCATAGGATATGCAATGGTCTTCTACCATATTTTCCTTGGTAATATGACCCTGAAATAACATTTATTTGAACTTATATTTGTAAAAATAGAATAATGAATTATAGAAATACACTTATACTATTTAACTCATATGTATTTAATGTCCATTAATACATTGTATGTTAATAGTAATCATATGGCATCTACATCTTTGCATAGAATTATAGTGTACATTGTTTCCATGTTGGACTTTTAGACACTTTACTATATTGCATAGGGTCTTCTAGTCTCTGACCAGTAAAGCTTACATACCTTAAATCCTGATTTCAAATAATTTTTAGCACTTTGCAATCCAGCTGTAAGAGGTTTCTCATCTTCTGTTGACAGCTCAAGTCTTTTCACTATCTTGTCCAGCTCCTCAAAGGCTTTAATCCCCTCCATTAAAAAATTGTCTAATCCCTCAATGCTTTTCCTGACCACAGATGAGCATTCTTCCAAAATCTTGAAAAGAGTGCTATTTCCTACAAGTATAATTAAAACATAATGTCATTTGAAATTTCTTTTAGTTCTTATATTCAAAAATTATTGCAAAAATAAAAAAAGATAAAAATTATAATAATTTTTTTTAAATCCAATATCTGGTATTTAAGTTTATATTATGTAATAACATGTCTCAGATATTGACAGTCAATATATAATATTGGTTACAATTCCCAAATTTTATAGCACTCAGTAGCAATACGTTTTTAGCTATTTAAATTGATATACCAAGAGGCTTTATGTTATCCTCCTTGCACACATCCATGTATTGAGAGATAATGGTGGAAGGAGCCAAACATCTAATAACAGTTGGAATCTTAAGAACCTCTCCTGTTTCCATTTTCAACATTTTTTCTCCAAAAGGCTGATCTTTAATTATGTCTCCAGATGTGATAAAGTCAATGAAGTGGTCTAACTGGCTATGGGTATACTTTTCCCTAGGAACTTTCCTGTTTGAGATTGGTTCTCCTACACCATGCTCTTGAATATGTTCTTTTGCATGATTGAATTTATATCTTGTCACAGTAGGCAGAAGCTGTAAAAGAAGCACAATATATATATTTTTTATAATTTTTTTTTTTGGACTATAAATAAGATAATAACAGCAATTACAGTGTAACATACTACATGTACAAGTTGTTATGAAAAAGCAATTACACATTTTATTATCAAATCTTTTAAATGTGTATCTACCATACTGCCTACAATAATGCATGTATTTTCTGATTGCATACCTCTTTGACAGCTGAAAAGTCCTTGTCTTTTACAATTGTTGAGAGAATTTGTCGTTGGAATGCCCAAGAATTGGCACCATTATAAATTTCGACAAGTGTCTCAAGAATGGCGTTTTCCTCCTCTGCAGAAGTTAGCTGAATATCATTCAAAACAGATCTTCTCAAGAATTCCTCTTCCCCAGGACAAATTGTGGTCAGGATAAGGTCAAGACACTGCTTAGCCTTATTGATGTACCTCTGTTTAGTTCTATTGCTTGAATGTTGCAGGTAGACCTGACATTCCTTTATCGGGCTAACGTTACTGAGGGCCAGGTAGTGATTCAGAGCCTCAAGTTTTGATGAATTAGATACTGAAGCCTCAGAGACAACTGTCTCCTGACTGAGATCTTCAGAATCAAATTCTTCACATCCATCTGAGGATTGTACAGTGCAAGAAGATACCTGCAAGACAAATTACTAAAATAAATATAACAAGAAGTCTCCTTATAGCTGGAAGCTCCATGGCTTGTACAGTTTTAGGTGACTTATAGTGTTGGGAATGAGTTATACTGTAAATGTATTATATTCGGTGTGACCGCAATATTTGGTGGAAATTTAGGTTTCCATAAGTAAGCATAAATTTGATTTAGCCCTTTCTAAATATACCGAATATAAATGTATGATTTACATATGTAAGTGACATTTACCAATGTACTTGAATTTGCTAACTCGGCTTTCCACCTAAACTGCCTAATAGAATACATCGCTAAATGTAATACTGTTACAGTAAATGGCATATATGTCATGTTGTAATAAACACTTCAAATTTAAAATCAATAGCTCTTCTTATTCAAAGGTTATCACTAATATCAACATTTTTTGTAAATTAGATTAAACTTTAAGAGCAAGTCATGGGTATAAAAATCATATCATGTTTGTCACAGCTTAGTTATGATGCCTCATCTTTTTCCCCTAAAAATTATCAACAATGATCATTTTTTAAATAGGTTCAAATTTGAAAGACAAGGTCACTGGGTCAAATATCATAACATGGTTGGAAACCTTGTCTCATAGGTAATGCACGTAATTGTAGTTGAAGCCAAAAGAAGATTTCTCAAGATTTCTTCCTATATGTCTCTCATATTATATTAAACTTTTTATTTCTTATTCAGGCCCAACCATATCTCCAAGTGACCCTAATCTGTACATTTAATAATTAATATTGTAAGGAAACTTTTATGCGAGTTACCAATATTTGGCAAATGGATTTTAAAAAAAATAATATTTTAATAAAAGCCATAAAAGAATTGCAGATGAAAGTATTGATCTATACCTTAAAGTCAATTTTTAGAAAATGACATATTTGAATGATTTTTTAAAATTCTAATAAAGTTGTATTGGCCAAATTGAAATATAAATGTTGAAATCCTTTCTTTTCACTATTTCCCTATTATCCCCCTTTGCATGAAGGTGTGCAAGTGCACAACACATGACTGATACCAGTCATTGTTGAATCACCTTGTTTGAGCTTTCTGCACACGTTAATATTTACAACTCCAAGAATATTTCAATAAATGACAGCAATGCACTGCTCCTTTTTGAAGTAGAGGTAACAAGAAAGGAGAAAATGTTTGGCTGGACCGGGAATCGAACCCAGGACCCCAGGCCCTGCATCTCCAGTCAGGTGCTCTACCAACTGAACTATCCAGGCCGATATCCATGGCCCAAACCATTACATACCAATACATATAAATATATTTTTTTAAAAATTAAACTTGTACCTTTGTCACTGATTGCCTTGATCTTTTCAGAGGTGTATGGTCATCATTTATCATATCACTTTCATCTTTTGTGATGGGCATCTGTTATGAAATGTAATTCTTCATTTAAATCATTTTCTCCTAGAAATGTTCATAAAAATTGCCACTCAGGCTCAACTGTCACAATTGTGATTTCTTGATAGGCTTTGACTTTCAATTTATTCTTTTGTGTCAAAGGAAGTCAACTTAGTTTTTGTCTAAACAAGAGGCCCATGGGCCACATGGCTCAGCTGAGATACTTTGGTGATACAGTTCTTTACCAGATTTCCACTCTTCTTTTATCTACTGTGGCCCCACAATTTAGAATCTGCATATTTTTTAAACTGTAATTTCTTAATTTTGTAAATTTTTATCAATTAAGTGAAGAAAGTTGCTTTTTAAACAGTATATACTATGTATGTAAATTTCTATGATGCATGAAGTAAACCCCTTTGTCAGTCCCCTTAAAAAAAGAAAACTAAAAATTAAATACAATTTCTGATTCTTTTTATCATAATTTTCTCTTTTATAAATCTGTACCTTTCTTGATTTCCGAGCTCTTTCCATAGGCTTACACATGTAGTCATCATTCATGTCAACTTGAAGTTGAACACCATTCTCATTAGACTCAGTTTTACAGAGTACCTGTCCAAATAAGAGTTTTCATCATAATTATGATGAATTTTAGTACTGACAATAAAATCTTATCATTTAACAAGTAGAATTTAATATCTTATCCTTTATAATTTAACAGGTCTATATTATGAAGAAATCTACTTCATAGCTACACATTGTACATCCTGTATAGTCTCAACTGGAATTGAAATTACACCTATTATATACATTTTCTTACGATTTGAAAAAAAAAATAAATAAATGTAAATTAATTTACTGAGAAGTCAGGTCTTGAATTAATGCAATTAATTAATGAGGTCTCCGTCAAGGTCACATATGAAACCATTCCTTTATTTAAAGAGTGAAGGCTTACTTCCTTGTGGTACATGTATGTATATTTATATTGAAAATTCCTCACCTTCTTACTGTCCTGAATCTGCAGGCTCGGCCTTCTGTTCACAATTAAGTGTACTCTGCAGCTATTACATATTCCTGAAAACAAGGATTTGATACCATATAGCTGAGAAACAATTTTATGATACAAGTGTAAGCATAGTTTTATGTAAACAGTATTCCCTGAAATTAGTTTAATAATGGAAAATTCATAACTTTTCAAGTTCACCCTGCAAGAGGCTTATAACTAGAACTTTCACCTGTTCACTCTGTAACCACTAGAATATAGCTAAGAAACAAAATCCAAATCTTAGACTTGCTAAAAAAATCACAATACATCTGTTCCATAAAAAAAAAATATTTTCTTTAACTAATAAACAATTGTTAATAAAATATAAAGTTTTTCTTATATTTAATCCATAGCACCTGTAGTACTGTATATTTAAGCCCTAAATGATCTTTGATATAAATGAGGTTAACTTCACATAATTTATGTATTGCTAATAATTTTTTTAACTCTTATTTTCTATAAATCTTGATGACACAGTAAAGAAATAATAAATTTATAAAATATTCTGCTCAAGACAACTATGGCACGCCAAATTCACAAAAATGAGCAAAACATAGTTTCACAGTCGATAAACTAGGTTTATCGGTTGTAAACTATAGTTTACGGACTCTAAACTATAGTTAACAACGTTAATCTATATTTTACATCTGTAAACTATAGTTAACGCGATAATCTATGTTTCACAACCGTAAACTATACTTAACACTGAAAACAATCATTTGCGATTGCGAAACATAGATTATCTGATAAATACAGTTTCACGATTTGTAAACTATAGTTTACAAACCGTTAACTATAGTTAACGATCTGATAAATATAGTTTCACGATTTGTGAAACTATGATTAACAATTCTTAACTTTAGTTTACGATCGTAAACTATAGTTTACAAACGTGAATCTATGTTTATCAACAAAATCTATTGTTAATGCTTATTACAGACAGATAAACTTAGATTATCATTCGTAAACTATGGTTAACAACCGTTAAATATAGTTTTACAGATGAAACTATACTTAACGAATCGTTAACTATAGTTTACGGTTTGTAAACTATAGTTTACAGTCGATAAACCTAGTTTATCAAATGTGAAACTAGGTTTATCTCATTTTTGTGAATTTGGCGTGCCATAGACAACTTGTAAACTTGTAACAGTTCAGAGAAAAAGTGCACAGTGGCTTTGAATCATTTCTTATAGTACAATTCAGAGTTCCCGAAACTAGTCAAAAATATGTTGGACAATTGTCCTGTAAATATTCAAAATTCACCAGACAGTTGTAAAATTTACCGGACATTAATTTTTTGTATGTAAATTTAAAATATTATAGGATTGGAAATGTGTCGATATAATACTAATAAGTAAAAAGATGGCAAATGCAGATTTTTTCTTTTAGATTTATTAAAATATTTAAAATTTCTATTACATGTAGGCCTGTGTATGCGGGATTTGACGTCGGCGACGCTGTGTGATGACCAATATTTAATTCATCGTATTAAATTATTATGTCCTTTCTGACAGATTTTTTTATTTTTTAAAATAAAACCTACAACATGACAACTTTTGGTTGATTGTTTGGAATTAGTCCGAAATATCTGTCGTTTTCCAGGCTTTTTCTTTTTTTTTTTTTTTTTTTTTTTTTGGATTTCGGCATTTTAATTTATGTGCCAGGAAATATCAAATTCGTTTTAAAAAGCCTGGAAAACGTCATATATTTCTTACTAGTTAAAACGTATTATACAACCTCCACACAGTTAAAAATATGTACTCATGATATAAAAATATGCAAATTTATCATGAAAAGGATGATTTTAAGTGAATTTGTTGTCGTTTTATTACATTAAAGCCAGTTCGCTATTTTTAGAAAAGGGGAAAAACGCGCATGTATTTTAAATGCTCTCAAATACATGGGGGAAAAAATTCAAAAATTGGTATAATATTAATTAATGCTAATAGATTAAATTATAGAGAAAATAATAAATGGTTACAAATTGTCTGTAATCAAGCAGAAATAGCAGGCAACTCTTGCAACCCTGCAAATTCGTCCTGCAAAAACGAAAGTAGATTGTCACATTTTTTTACTGTCAGAATTGCAGAGTGCGTATATTCATTAAGAGGGAAAAATATTAGTTTGACAGTGTTTTAACTGTTTTTCCTCTCATACTTATGGAGATTATTATTATAATATGTAGCTTTTATAGTAGACAATCACCGTCTACATTTTATTTAAACAAGAATGCACGAGAATAATCTGGCGCGCCCTGACGGTTTTTTTTTTTTATTTCCTTTAGTTTTGCATCAGGGCAATTCAATTTAATGATTTTGTTAAGATTATGTGTAATTTTTATAAGTCTGTGAAAAAACCATCGGACATTTTGACCGAAAAAATTTCGATTTTACCGGTCCCATTCAAAGTTTACCGGGGATCCCTGGTGGACCGGTGCGTTTCGGGAACTCTGACAATTCAACCTAGAAAATGTCCAGGTACTGGAGAATTTGAATTAGTTATCTCCAACTCTTAAATACTAGGACACTGTCTGACAGTCACACAAATGTACACTTGCATGTACTACATATTATGAAAAAAGTCAAAGCTAGCCTATAGGGCTTTGAGATTACAGTGTATTAATGCACTTACCTGTACCAATAGGAAGGACATTGCCTGTTGATGCATGGATCTGTTGAACATGTTCTTCAGTTATTCTTCTTTCATGCTTTTTTGGAAAAGTATGGGTTGCCAAGTTTGGAGGAACCATGCATTTTACAGTACGAAGTTTGTTATAATTAAGGTTTCTAAGTTCTTGCAAGTGGTTGTCACATATCACAGTATTATCGATGTCATGACAAATGTTTTCAAAGTCACTTAGTATACATCCTAAATCAGAAATGTAAATAGCTAACTTTTCCCTTGGGATTGAATTCAAACCAATAGACTTTAAACTACAGGGTGATTTTGTTTGAAATCCCGGGAAATATTTTGTTAGCAGACAACTTTCTGCCATTTTCCCATTCCTTTTTTTCGTACCTCCCACACTGAAGAGTTCAAAATAATCAAAGGGAGGTAATTCATTTTTCTGAATGAAGCCAGTTTTTAAATAGAAAATTCTCATATTTATAGACAGAATACCAATCAAGTATTTGCACATGTAATTAAAGTAGATGTTAAATTTTTTATTTCTGTTTGTAACATGAATTGAAGCAGCCGCATTTCATTAAAAAACATTCTCAAATATTGCATTTTTAAAGGAAAAAATAACTTTAGACACTGTTTCCATGGTAACTACCTAACATTCATATGATCTAACAATATTTTTTTAAGTAGTTTATGAGGTGGTACTTTCTAGCCAAATTTGAAAAAAATCTGTGACTATGCGTGCCACAAAAGTTTAAGTGGTTACAGAGAATGGATATTAAGTAGGATAACTTCATCTTATTTCAAGAAAAAATATACAATTTTTTTTGTAAATTACGCTATAGGATTTTATTAGATTAAATATCAAATTCTAGATCACTACTTGAGCAAGATCTCATGTAAGAAAAAATACTAGAAAATTCAAGACAAAAATCTACGATATGTTGACCTATATGTGATATTCCAAATAAACATTAAGCTTGTTTTTTTTTTTAGAATTTCTAAATTTATCTTAAATACTTTTATTTTGATAAATTAGTTTAAACATTTTTCATCTGAACTCGACTTTCACGTTGGCACATTGAATTTGATATCTTACTGGGAAAAGACAGCTATGACAAACTAAAATACCTCTTTATGACAATAGCGATAACTTTAATTATTCGAACAAATTTTACAACGAAGCAACCTACTGACAAACAGGTTGACAATACAAGACAAATAAGAGCTTTGTTTAAAGTCATAATTCTGAACATTCTATGGTCGATACAACGACTTTTTCAGCAAATACAATATTGCGTCAAGTCGAAGTTTTCATGCAAATTGTTAGGCTTATTTCAAAATGAATTGTTTACGTTTTCCAATTTGCATCTGCACGATCATGACAAGGAGTAGATGACATTTGCGACCGGTCGACAGGGGCAACTGATCTCATCTCTGATATTCAAGAGGTAATTGTCTACTCTGTTCCCAATCTGTATTGCTCCAGTGGACTTTTGGGTTTGGAATATTAATTTACATTCTCGTTTTTGAAACACTGTATACCATGGCATCAAATGTTTTGAGTTAGGGTTTACTTTTGTCAACCGCTTTTGCGAAAAGGAAGGGCACATTAAATCTCATTCGTTTGTCCGACTGTCAGTTTGTAGTTCTGCCCTTCCTTCTCAAAAACTTTGATTTTGGTCATATTTTTTGAATGAGAGGAGATAGGACTTTCATATTACACATTGACCCCGTAACCTTTAAGTTTGACCTACTTTTAAAATATTTAAACATTAAATTACTTTGAATTGGCCATACCTATTCAATGAAAAGCTTTCATATTAAACATTTGTATTATCTGTGACAAGTCCTTACTAAATACACTATGATCTTTAACCTCTTGACCTTAAAGTTTGACTTACTTTTCAGAAACTTTAACCTTGGTCAAAACTTTTGAATGAGAAGACATAGGGCTTTCATATTAAACTGCGTATTGTTTGTGACAAGACCTTTCTAAATACACTATGATTTTTATCTTGTGACCTGGACCTTGGTTTGCTTTTTTCGAAAATGTTAATTTTTCCTTATAACTTTTGATTGAGAAGACACTGCGCTTTTGTATATGACAAGTGCATTACCTGTGACAAGATATTTTCGAGCACATGCTATGATTTCTGACCCCTTGACCTTGAGAATCGCGATCGACCTTATTTTCAAAAAAATCTACTTCGATGATGACTTCTGAATAACATATGAAAGGATGTTCAAATTTGACACAATATGCCATAAAAATTGACGTCTCAGCCACAAAGACACGGAAAGCGGGGGACCATAATTCTTTGAATTTGCTTGTTGCTCTTCGGTCAAGCTCAGAATGCCAGTCCATCATAACAGGTTATAATTCTAACCTTTTATACGAAATACTATGTACTGAAGACTTTTATAACTTCCATAGTATTTTAATAAAAACTGACGTAGAAAAACAACAAAATAAGAAAAGAAGTCGCTATTTAATTTTCCATCCAATCTATTCACTGGAAACAAATTGCTGAGTATTTTATTCTTTATTTGTGTGAAACAAAAGCATAGTATTAAAACAGCATGGCAATAACCAGTCCTTGAGAAAAAGTGTTATTTACAGTCTATGTAAATATGTAGCAGCTTTTCATCTTTATAAGCATTCGTTTTTCAACGGGAAAATGTAGGAATGTGACAAACATGTTCCCTTCTATAGGCATTAACTGTCACACTTTCATACATCCGGGAGACCTCATAATGACAACAAAAATCATTATATGTACACCGATCTGTAACTCTGCTGATGTTTTTGTCAAAAACCAAATAAAATTAAGTCTTTTTACAAGTGAAGTCTTCACCGCTTTTCAACATGGATTATTAACACAATTTGAGTAGAGCAATTGTTGATTGGCTCTGTTTCTTCTCCGATTCCTAAGAAAGTCCTTAAAGTGACATTCTCTTTCACAATCTTCATTATCAACTTCACATTCAGGCGTGCATCCGAAATCATACGGTGTTAATTGACATTCATCAAGGCAAACAAATCTCTCCGATGTACATACATACGAACACGCTGACGCAGGCGGTGGAGGATAATCTCGATTCACAATCGGTGTTAAATTAGGAGTTGGCTTTGGTGGTGATGCCGTTGAATTGGTCCCCAATTGTGTTTGATTGGTTGCGCCACTTTTAGGAGGTCTTTTCAAAATAGAAACATTGGCTCTAGCGTTTTGACGACAATCATCGCAACACTTTGTATAGGAAACCTTGCACGATTTTGAGCAGTCTAGAAAACGTGTTTTATTAAACAGATGAACCGTTTTACAGGAAGTACTGCACTGAACACGATCTTTACGACAGTAATCTTCGCAGACATCCGAGGAGTGTTCGGGTGATCCGTATGTTAAAGTGAAAAACAACCCGAGTATCGTCAACAGGGCACTCTGGAAAAAATAATCTTTTTTCGTAAAAAATAATATTAAACTTAGCATTCATAATTGTATTATATTGAAAATACTTCTTACATTTATTCTATGAATATTATTTTCCATAGTAGTAACACATAGTTCTTGCAAATAAACTATCCATTATTGTTGTGTTATTTGATTATATAAATATCAGACTACTTATATAAACTTACAAGACTTCTCATGGTCTCCGGTTCTAGTGAAAAGTGTGCGAATTACTTAGGAGCTCCTCTGGTTTTATTCAATGGCCTTGCAGAGTGAAAAATTGCCTTTTCTCAATAAACAAGAAAACGTGTTGAAGATTTCAATTCTAATAATGAACGTGCCATTTTTTGACATAATTACTTTCTCAGTCATTTTGATTCATAGCAAACCATTAAAAAATATTTTTTAGCTGAAGTGCGTATTTTAAATATCTATTTCGTTTTCTTACTCTTTTAGAAAATCACTTATTTTCAACACTGTATTTCATTTTCATAAGGCACATGAAAACTTTTAAGATATTAAGGTCAGACGATACGTTTCTAAGATAACTGTTTTGTAAATCTTCGTAATATATAAAAAAAACATTTAAAATTATAATTTTGCTTGTCAATTCTAAACTGGTCCCTTATTGTCTTTAAAAATTTACAAAATTTTTGATTTTGGCAATTTAAGGTATAAATTATTCAAAAGGTGTATATAGGCAACACCATCCTCTGGTATCTTGCACAAATGTCTGGTAAGTAGAGTACCTTATTTTTTTTGTGAGTTAATTTGTAAAAGTAGCATTACTTCAATGGTAAAATCTTGAGAAAAATTATAACTTATTTAGGAACGTATCGTCTGTCCTTAAGCAAATTTTGAATAAATTTATAGTTAATTCCGAGAACTGGGAATTATGGGTACTTTCTAAACAGAACAACTACTTAAAAATACAGCACATTGATAAATTAGTTAAATATACATGTACAAGTTTAGGCTATTAACAGTTTCCTTTACATTCAACATTTTGCAAGTTCTTATTGACAGGCATTTTTTATTTTTAAAAAAATTTAGGCTATTTTTTTTTAAAATTAAAATCGTCTACAGATTATTTAAAATTCCCTATCATGACAGGGGGCTTAAGACGGGTCACTGGGGATGCTTTCTCCCATAAGTCACCTGATCTCACCTCTGAAATTTTACAAAACTTACTCAAATGTACAAAGCATCCTAAGAGATGATTGTATCTTGTAAGAAGGATCTGTCCATAAATAAAACAAACATATATATTTGATATATTTTTCATAATGAATGAAATGCTAGAACTCTGTTTTGATATGCACAAGAAGAAAATATATATTGTAGGGAGCTAAAAATAAATACTACAAATACGTATATTTTAGTAAATATTTCATTATATAAAAAAACTCACTTCTAAATATGTCATGAAGTTATATGCCATTCTGTGCCATGGGCTTTTTCAATCTTTCATAAATATTATTTATATTAAAAAAGATATTAAATCTACATATAAAGTTGAATGGCCAAATCAACTTTGCTATATTTATTATATTCTTTAAGAGAAACAAAACGCCAAAATAAAGAACGTTTCAAATGCCTTTTTATTTTGCTATTTTATATACTATAAAATTAGAGTTGATAAAGGTTACTCAACTCCCCGGTACACGTAGTGAAATCAGTATTCTGCTCAAATGATTGCTTTGGGATTTTCCTCTGTGGAGGCCTTGTCAAAAATTTAATAATTACATTTAATATGAAATTGTTGACCATTATTTGCACACTGAGTTGTCCACGGATTTTTCACAAGGAGCACACGGGGGGCACACACCTCTGCTGTTTTGGAGTACCGTGTTTGCAGAACTCCTATTTTGTAATACATAAAGATATGTAATATTTTCTTAACCTTCTCCTCCTCTCCTGGACTTTTACAAAATTTTACACACTAAATGATGGACAAGGGTGCCTCTTTTAAATTGTGAGTTTTAAGGTCCTTGGAATCAAGGATTCTGATATCAAGACAGTGCCCTAATGATAATTAAAAGAGAAAAATGCATTTACTTTAAGAAACTTCTTGCTTATTCATAATGAGCAACAGATTTCTCTTTCAAATTCTGAATTCATGTGAGGGCTTCATTCATTACATAGTGAAATCGGTTTTTTAAAGAAATTTTTCTATTTAATATACATATGTACTATGCATTTTTTATTGAATATGAAGTGAATCATACAGTATTTCAAATATTTCTTCAAAACAATTCAAGTTTTGTGTCAGTTTCTGATGAGCAAACAAATTTTCCATTTAGTTGAAGAGTAGATGTATCTAAAACAAACAACTTGATTATATATGGTTCTACCACGTGTGAATGTGCGCGTTTTAAAACCTGTCAAGCAGTGTTAGGTCGAAGGTTAATCTATTGTAAGTGATTTCATTAATTAGCGTAATTATTTTTAAGTCTAGCTTGATTAATGAGAAATGTTCTAGCAGTAGTAACACATGTAAGTGTTATCACGTCTGACGAATTTTACTCATTACCGGTGTACACATTTCCAAATTATAATTATCATCATCTATTACCCTGAGTAAGTTTAGAACAATTTTTTGAGTTTAATGTTTTGACCGAAATATGCAAACACGCTTTATACATGTTTTAGGTAAAGGTGCAATATAATACTCGCATTTCAGAATTCACAAGAACAAGACATACTGCAGATGGGGCGCGATCTGATATGACATTTTTACTTACGATCGATTGTACTAAGTCATAGAAAAAAAATACCATCTCTCACTATAAAATAAGAATGATGTTTTTTTCTTTCTAAATTTTAAAACGAGGAAAAGTAGAAATATGATCAATTTCTTCAATAAAATTTTGTAGATTAACATTTTTAAATTATCTATTTTCTTAATTAATTTATTATAAATACCATGATTACTAATGTCATAAAAGACAAATTGTGTGAACAATTACTAAATTGTGTATACTCTTACTAAATTTTATATTCTATTACTAGTATCTAGAAAGTTCTAGAAGATAAAAAAAATATATAATATACAGAGACACCTTTTTTAACATTGCCAATAATATCAAAAAGGTATGCTTTTTTCTCATTCTATCAAATGCTGTAATATTCATTATTATATAGTCTATTTATAGTCACTATATAATCTATACAAACGCAAACAGTTCATAACACTACATATTCACCGGATTTGAGGCCGTATTCACCGGAGGGTCAATGCGCGTGCAACGGCATTGTGACGCCACAATCAAAATATAAAACAACGTTGTAAACGATGGTTGCAACGGCCGCAGCGAGCTGCGTATCTGTGCAGGAAAACAATTATTCAAACCTATTTCAGTATTATTTTTTAACATCTGGACGTCTTACACATAGCGAAACTTGGAAAGGAAAACACGGATGCTACAAACAGTAATCTGGAATTTTTTTTTTTTTTTTCAACAATGGAAGATCGCAAATGAAAATGATGTCGTCATACAGCCTTCAATGTCTTATCTATTCAAATCTCGACTATATAATAAAACAATTATGGACTCTTTTGGTGTTGAATATGGTTTGTTATTCACCAGAAAAATATCCATATTGACCTCGGCGAATATGGTTTGTTATTCACCAGAAAAATATCCATATTGACCTCGGCTTCGCCTCGGTCAATATGAATATTTTTCTGGTGAATAACAAACCATATTCAACACCAAAAGAGTCCATAATTGTATAATATTTGTCTTCCCGTCTGTCCACTTTCTTGTCATAAAAATTCCTCTAAAAGTTTGTAAAGTAACCAATATATTATAGTCATAAGCTATTTTATGAAGATGTCCAATAAGTTGTGAACGAGTTTCAATTTCGCCTCAAGAAGACCCAAGTGACTTAAATATGGTTTTGATTTTTAAAAGTGAAAGCTTGTCATTTGAAATCGTCCCAAGTTTAAAACTTATTGTTTTTGCATGCAACTAACCAAGTCATGCACATTTCTTGATTTTTTTTTCGCTTTTAATATGTGTCTATTAATGTATTTATTATGCAATGTTAAATCTATATGATTTGGGGACATTATAATAATAATAAATAATAGTAATTTTAATAACAAATTTATATGGCGTCTTGTTTAAAAAATACATTACTCTAAGACGCTGAGTGAACATTGTTTCAGTAACTGAAAAGCGTATAATATACAAATATTGAAAAATAAAAACAACATTATGCATAAAATTAACGGATTTGAAACATACAGTGAATTCATATAGGCAATCCACTCCGTATTAGATAAAATTGACAAAAGGTCTGTGATTTAAAAAGGACAGTCCATCTCCTCTAATTTTATATCCTTATATGGAGTGATGATAAAACATCTAATATACAAATATTGACAAAATAAAAAAAGAACGTTATGCATTAAATAAACGGATTTGAAACATACAATGAATTCACTCACTTACTAGATGAAATTGACAAAAGGTCTGTGATATAAAGGAGAGTCCATCTTTTCTTCTTTTTTTACTTATATGAAGTGATGAACTTGTTAAATGGGAGGTTGGGACATATTCGTGTACACATAATTTCCTCATCGTTCTCTTCATCATATAGAGAATTATATTTTAAGTCCCCAATCGCTACAGGGAGTGTCTTATAACTACTTCCCATGAAACGAAGGTGACAATCAAGGGTTGGACTATTAGCTGATTTCAAAGGATCGCCCTGTGTAAAGGAAAGAGTTCATTCTGTTTTGGTTTTTACCGGTATTTCAAACATTGCATGAATTTGAATTTCTCTGAAACTTACTTCAATTTCAAAGTGATGACAACCTTTTTCATTTTTCACTGACACAACAAATGAACCACTTTCTGCTTTGCTTTCACTCATTCTTGAAAAACACTACACACTTAGGTTTTATAAACAAATCCATTCAAAAGAGAAGTAGTAGAAATTAAACAATACTTTTACATTTGGAAAATCAAAGTAGAGAGCAAGCAAAAAACAAGTCTATTTATTTCTAATCTTTAGAATAACAAATATTATCATTTTCATATATGCAGTTTCTATCAATGTTTTGCAGTTGAATATTCGCGCAGATATTTTTGTCATACCTTACGAGATAGGTATTATCACTCTGGCTCTGTAGGATTTCATTTGCCTTGTCTCTGGACATTTCACCGGCAAACCAACTTCTCGTTGTTTTAAATATCGAAAATACAGAAACAGTTTAATTTATTTAAAAAAAATTATATAATTTTCTTTTTTAAAGTTTAGAAATAACAAAAATTGTGATTATAGGTAAAATATCCCAAACATTCATTTTCATCAACAACAATATCAATAGAATCTAACGATAAAACGAAAAATATTTTAAAATATGAACTTTTTCAGAAATGAATATTATGTCTCATAATGATATGAAGATAATAATTTCAGACATTGAAATGAAAGATCTCAATTTTAACATTCTAAAGGAATTGAATGCAAATGTTTGAGGTAAATCATTGTAAGTAAATAGCAAAAATATTGGTAATATATAAATATTGCATGTAGTTGAGTGTAACATTGAAAATTTTCACCCCCCCCCCCAAAAAAAAATGACAATGGTTTTCTAGGGGTGAAAATTTTCAATGTTACACTCAACTACATGCAATATTTATTATATCATACTGAAAGTTTTATACAAATACATATAACAGTGAACCGTGCGCGCATAAATTCTGCGCAGTCGCTATTTTTGGAATATCACCCGTCGTCAAGCAATGTTGACTGTTGCTACGCAGGAGGGCGTGGCTTCATTATTCAGCGGGTAATAGTGTTTTTTTTATTCACATGTTTCTCGACGAATCAGATTCAAGTAATTTACATGAAAGTATAATATTAAAAAATAGAAATCAATATTGTTACATTTGATTGAATGGACTATATAAAATAGTCCTCATTAATAAACTGTGGTAGGGCAATTTATTCGATTGCCTAGAATAATTTCCTTGGGAAATTATCACTCTTATCAGAGAAACATTTCACCTTTTTCTGTAATACATCAGATTAACCTTTGATAAGTCTGTCTAGGAAATCATAAATAAAGGAAGTAGACAACAGAAAACTAAGTCCAGTTTGCCATAAATGTCATATAGATATCTAAATAAGAAAACAGACACGTACGTATCAGATTGTATCCATTGAATTTATTATATACAATCAAAGAAGGTGAACCTTATTTAGAAATTGTAGTACTACATGCATATACGTACCTGACTTTTTGATTTTTCATTCCCTTAGATACAGAGCTTTTGATTATTTCTTGCAGCTTAAAAGAAATAAAGCTCTCTATATTCAAACTATTAAAATAGTTACCAAACATAATCGAAAGTTTTGATTCTTTTAGAGACAAAAAGAGGAATTATTGTTCAACATTATTTTACAATTGGAAGTGGAACAACAGAGTTTGCTGTGACACGCCGAACTGTCTATATTGGAAAAAAGACTTAAAGTAATTCTATTAAAAAAAAATTCAGAAATAGAATGAAAAAGTGAAGCAAACAATAACCAATCTCTAAAAAATCTATAAACATTATAAATCTGTAAAAAGAAAAGGGGGCATAAAACAAGGACCCCTGGAAATTGCTGAGGTGGGATCAGGTGACTAGGAGGAGTAAGCATCCCCTGCTAATCGTAACGTCATTGTACCATGTGAGTTGACCAGGTAAGCCCTTACAAAAGGTATGAAATATGTCAGCTAAAATACGACACAATTAATGATAGGTTACTAGTATATATTTGCTAACGAGTTCATTATGTTGACCAAAGATTTTACGAAATGCTGACTTTAAACAAGGTGATTGAACTTCCATTGACATCAACTTATCTGTCAGTAGTCGGTATTCAGTATACCAGAGGAGGCTATTAAGTATTGAATTATTTGGGAGAGGTGAGCACCATTTAAGAATATGTAATAATTAAGCAACTTCTTAAAAGTTGTAATCGGCTTGAAAGAAATTTAAGTATTGCTGATTACATGTATAGATAATTTTTAATTTCTGTGTTTATTTGAAGGGAATTTTAGTCACTGTTGTCCACTGATAACGGATATAGCAAAATGTGCAATGTCACGAATATCTTTTTTTTAAAAAAACCTCCCACATACATAAACAAAAAATAAAATGTCTCAACGACTAATTTTAATATGACATAATAAAGAAATGATAAATACTGAGTACTTTGATCTTTCACTGTGCCTAACTCTAAATCCAGATAGTCATTCATTCCCAGATAACGTTATCTCATTATCTGGGGTAATCTTATATTGAAGCATGTCATTTTGAACATGTCGATAAATATTTACATCCGCGTAATATTATCTTTGTTCCTTAAAAAACACGGTCGTTATCAATAAATATTTCCTTTTCTATTTGCTTTCTCTGATAACTCTTTGAAAAATAGTTGAGTTCATTTCTTCATATTTGTACCGGAATGTAAATTTTGCCAATTTAATTTGCAAATTTTATCCCTCGTTTCCAACTATAATTGATACCATGGCATACGCTAAACTACTAACTATACAGTGATTCCTTAATCATTCAAAGAAAGAATTTTCATACATGTTATTCAAAATCACTAAAATCTTAAACCATCATTTTTTTTTTTTTTACATCAAAACTTCTCAAAGAAGAAATGCAATTATTATTTTCATAAAGTTATGCTTAAAATACATTTTCTTTTGACAATTCATACGTGTTGAATGAGAAGATATCTTCCATCACTGTCAGGCTTTATGGGACCAAAGAATCTAACGACGGTCAGTAAGTCTGCAAGATCAACTTCTGCATCATCTGTTAAAAATGTAACAATTCTTAATTTTGCTTTGATGTCTCTTAGACCTTTCCTCGACCCATACAAATATCTTGCAATTTTACCTGTACAAATGTATTTCGAGGAATTCAGAGCCAAGCATTGCAAGGTTATCTATTTAAATATTAACGATTCCCTGTTTTTTTTACCTCTGTTGCTGACACCAAGAAGAGTTTTGAACAGGAACATGGTCTGTTTACTTTTAAGTCCGTCTTCGTGTGGAAATTCTTCCTTTAATTTTTCAATGAATTTGATCCAAAACTAAAGGAAGTTTAAACATTTATTTAGAAATCAAGGCTTTGAGGTAAATATATATACGATATATGTACATGTAACCAGTCATGTATATATTGCTATTTAACATAGTTAAACTTATTCACCGAAAAAGAATCTGTTTTCTCACCTTGGAATGACATTTATTTTGATTTCCACCACGAACAACTTTGTCCCACAAATCGACTGTTTCTCTAGATGAAAATATGCCTCTTAAAAGCTTGCAAGTATCGCCTTTAATAAAGGAAGAAAAAAGTATATACATATTAATATTAATATAGTTCTGAAATAGAATAACTTTTGTTGAAAAATACCATTATCAGATTGGTATATATCCAAGATTGAAAACAAAATTTAAAATTTGAAAACTAAATTTGATTGTAGATTAAATTATTAACATACTTTAATTAAAAAAAAATCGTTTCCAATTATAAATTTCTGACTTACAATCTGGCAGTTCTGATACATGACTGCTATTTGAACTGCCACTGAAGGACCTTTCAAGACGGGCAGCGTTATTAAGGGCGTCCTGGTCATGAGGAACATTGTCAGACACGGGGAGGTGGCTGTTATCAAACGTTGTATTTTCCACGGATATTTCATAATCACAAGTTTCATAAAATGTTATGTTACTCATCTCTGTTGGTACATTATCATCTGTCGCATTTTCATCTGTACTGCTTTCTCCGTTGTTTAAGGAGTCTTGCTCATTAAAGTCTCCATCCATTTGTTTGTTTGGAAGAAAGCAATCGTCCTTATACTTAGTTGATACTTTCTGGTTCCCCGGCTATTTCTACTGGTAGCTCTGTTTTATTGTTTTGATCCTGTTTCAGAATGAAGCGAAACTTTTATAGCTGTAGATCAAGTAGCGTTATCGAGGTCTTATGTATATGTATCTGTGCATGCTGACAATTTATATTTTATCTACATGTATAAAGGAAAACACAATGACGTGTATCTATTTATATGAAATTCTGTTGAAACTTGCATATACGTATGAATATGATGAATGACAAAGTCCATGTTTTGTTCATCCTTGCTATACCAGGGGTCCTGAATCAACGCATTACCGTTGGACCCCTGGCAAATTTCATTTGATATTTTAAGGCTTGTTGGTGTCAGTCTATGTTTTATATATATTCATAAATGTATATTTATGAATAAAATAAATGAATGTAAATACATGCGTAACAGACGGACGTACAGAAAGACGGATGAACGGGAAACTAGACGAACGGACGGACACCCCCTCACTATATAACCCTCCCTGCATTTCAAACGGGGGTTAAATAATGGTCTTACAATTTGTATGGAAAGGTAAGAGATTCCCTGCATCCACACATATGATTTTCAGATACAAAATACAAATGTATAAGAAAAGACTCGCAGTTGCAAATGAATGAGAATGACAATAAAAGAGATGTTAGAGTTAAGAGACTTCAAAGTAACAAACTTTCTTTTTACAAAGTATGAAATGATTACCTGATTACCTCACTCCAGATGAATTCTTTACAAGATTTTACTTCCTGATTGTCTGTAGAAAGGAGAAATATTAGGCCTAATGGGAAATCAAACCCAGCATGGGGCATAAGCAAACTACCACTGTAGAAGAATCTTTAATTGTGATATACACGTGATATAAAAATATCGCCACTTATTGTTAGCTGGTATGAATTAATCTAAAAATATTTTTCTTATCTTAAATCCTTGTTCCAAAAATATTTGCTGATGATATAATGAATTCATCGGTTTAAGTGTTTACATGATGAAAATTATGCAATATAAGTTCTAAAGGAGACCATACAGACCTATTGGTCGCAACGCTCAACCAACCTTTTTCGCTAGGAGAAAGCAGAAGTTTAAATATGAAATGAAACATAAAGAGATAATGAACAGTATTCAAGATCAAATGTCCTTAAAACAATACACAATAGGAGCAGAGCAAACATGGACCTCCAACCATCAGAGGTGGGATCAGGTGCCGTGGAGGAATATGCATCCCCTGCTGACCGGTCACACCCGCCGTGTGCTCCTTGTCATATATAATAACTGAAAAATCCGTCCTCAATTCAATGTATAAATAATGGACTAACAATTAGTATGAAAAATCGTAAGTCAGCATTTGACTCGGTGATAAATTGTATTTGCTGACAAGGTCGTTGTATCGACCATATAGCTTACGAAATGATGACTTTAAACGTTACTGCTGATATTCTTGTTTCATCAACTTGTTTGTCAATAATTTATTTCATTTTAGAAATTTTTCATTCGTAGAACATGCTCTTGCGTATCGAATCAGCTGAGATATATAAACTCCGTATGAGGTGATGAAGGTATATTGCTGCGTAAGTAAGGGAAGTTGACGATGGTAAAGTTAAAGTCATCACGTTTATCATTGAGCTTGGTTTTTAGATTACTATCAACGTTCATTTCAAGTATAATTTCCAAATATGAAACAGATGTGTTAGACTCTGCGGTGGCATCTTTTATTTCAAGCTCACCGGAATATATCGTATCGACATAAGAATGAAAGCTACCATATTAATTGGCAATACGTTGTCGATATATCTAAATGTCGAGTTGAAGGCCACAGCAAGTGTTTTCTTCTTTTCAGATTTTGGACAAATTCTGCTTCATGTCATTACAAAAATAGGTCTGCTAATAATGGGGCGCAATTGATACACATGTAAATTCCTAAATGTTGATTTTAGTCAAATCTTGTGATGTCAAATTGTCCAAAAGTTCCTTGGAATTTTTGAGCATCAACATCTGGTTTACACCACTTTTTGAATACATTATATTGTTGCACAGTAATCTTGAAGTTTTTCCTTCACTACTGTCAATATCTTAGTGAGGAGTAAAGAAAGAGGTTTGGTTGAGCATTTACTGGAAATGTTCATTGCCTATCTTTGCCAAAAAAAAAAGTGGGAGGGAGACCCCCCTTCTCCCCCGAGGTTCTAACGTCTATGAAGAGTAAGGTAAGGATAACGCAGTGTTGATTGAAAAAAATGGTGTAAAAGGAAGTTTGACACCCCTCCAGGATTTTTGAGTTCAGACAATTTTCCTCTTTTTTTTTCCTTTTAAAGAGTACCATTTTTATTGCTTTGATATTTTAAAATTTACTTAAAACTTCTTAATTTCAACCTTGATAACGTTTTAGATTTTAAGAAATTTAAAACTTTTAAAATTAAAACATTCAAATTCTAAATATTTATATTTTAAGTTTAAGAATTTTACTTCAAACATTTATAATATCAAATTCCATACCTGGTTTGAATATTGTAACTATGTTAAAAGAAAAAAACAAACAAACAAACAAAAACAAAAAAACGCTTTATACCAGGCCAGTCTTCGCAATGCACAAAGATCAGAATATTTAAATTAAATAAGATAAAGTTTTATCATTGAGTGGTTATTTGTGGTAAAGTCCCAAATTTTCAAAGTGTTTTGGATACATGGTGTATTTGAAATTTGGATGTTGAATCAAAATTCTTAATTAAACAAATCTA